ATTCCTGCTCCAGTACTTAAAAATCATACAGAATCCTTCTTATTTAGAGCTTCAAAAGGCAGCTAACCAAGGGAGAAGATGCACCTGGGAGAAGCTTTCAGCCATAAAAGCAAATTGTGGAATTGAGCTTGCTCTTGATGAGTCTGTTGCAATTCTCAATCATATGAGACGACTCAAAAGAAGTTCTGAGAGAGCTGCTGCTGCTTCTCACGGTCTTCACAGTACAGTCAGATTCAGTGGTTCAAGAAGAATTCCATCGTGGAATGTCATTGCACGAGAGAATTCTACAGGTTCCCTAGAAGACTTTCATGCAGATGCTGCTCCCTCATTGCATCAAGGTGTTAATAGTCCCAATGGAGCCACTGCTAAAAATTGGAAGTCCCACCGTAGCTTTCATGATGCAAGTGACAGTGAATCTGAAAGTGCTGACTTGAATTCTTGGACCAGATCCGGTGGGCCTTTGATGAGAACTAGATCTGCAGATATGTTCATTGACTATATCCAGAACTTAGAAGTTGATACTGAACTAAATAGAGGCAAGGTGGCTCTCACTAGCCCTCGCGATTTTCTGCATCACAGTTCAAGGTTCACAACACCCGACAAGTGCTCCAAGAGCACAGAATCTGATCAGAAAGAAAATGGAAACAGGGTTGTCATGAATGGATCTAACATAATGGTAACTGAAGGTGATCTTTTGCAACCTGAAAGGATCCATAATGGGATTGTGTTTAATGTTGTCAAGAAAGAAGACTTGACACCTTCAAATAGGAATCGTGATTGTAATAATGAAGTTGCTGAATGTGTACAAATTGACTTTCCAGGGAAGGAGATGGATGCTGCTAGTTCAGCTTCCGAAAATGGTGATGATGATTCCACAATGGCCAGGTCACTACCTGAAACACCAAATTATAGTTCCACAGATGGTTCCAGCACAGGTTTGGGTAAGGATCAAAGCATTGCTGAAAATTAACTCCAGAGATCACTACATTACTGACTTTACGTTGGTACTAATGCTGTTGATAATGTTTTTTTGTATCAAATCTAGTCTAGGATCTCTGTATTCATTTTTTCAATTGAAATATAGCCCAAAATCTGGGATATGCTCATAAATGCAAGGAAGAAAAGTGGTTTCAACTTTAAATCACATGCAATCCACAATTAGATTGAAAGTTTTTAGCTACCACTTGTGCAGATGAATGAAATCTACTCACTTCACACAACACCCCCTCCCCCTTTTTCTATGTGTGTCTTTTCCCTTTCATTGTGTGTTGTTAACCGCATTACATGAAGAGACATCGGTAAATTCATTTAAGGCTTAAAAATGTTTTTAGTCCTTCAAATTTAGGATTTAGGGTAAATTTATTTTGTCTCTTAAATTTAAAATTATTATTTTTAATCCATATAATTTAAAAAAAAATTTTAATTTTTATATTCAAATTTTGTTAAAAAATTTATTAAATATTATTACATAAAATTTACTTATTGATGGCTCTGTTAGTTAAAATATTATCCTGTTGATATTATATAATTGTTTTAATTTGTCACTTTTAGATATGTTATTGGTGACTTAATAGACTAAAACCAAATTTTTGAAAATTATAAGAGTTAAAAATAATAATTTTAAATTTAAGAGACTAAAAACAAATTTATCTTAAATTTAAGGGATTAAAAATATATTTAAGTCTTCATTTAATCATAAAGTTGCATGTCTCAACTTTGAGGTATTCATATATTGCCTTGCAAAAGGTGTTGCCCATGTTGGTGATAGATTTATTATAGTAATCAATGATGCTGGGGGATTAGTTTCCTTTATTGTTTAAAAGGTTAAGCAACTGCAGTATAGGTGATGTTCCTTTGGTTCCCGATGGACATATGTAGTCTTAATACATCATAGTGCAGCAAACATTGTCTAAACTTTACATGATGTATTATAACTTTTAACAAAAGCTAAGAAGAAAAAAGAGCAAAAACAAAATTTCGTTGCTGTTATGGATCGTTAAAAAGGAAAAAAAAAAAAAAAAAAAAGGAGGGCAAGGGAGGCACTATTAATTTATTTTAGGTTTAAATGTTTTTTAGTTCCTATATTAGCATGGATTTTTAATCTTTATAGTTAAATATGTTGCATTTTACTTTTTATACATCTATTTTTTTTTTGTAACAACTTAATATGCCACCACACTTGATACAACATAGTTACATTGTAATGGGAAACATAAATATTCTCTAGCCTATGATTATTATGTAAAGAATAACCAAATATTCATGCAACAATTATATGTATAGTATAGAAAACATAAAACATTTTCTATCAATCTTGACTTGAAGATATGGATGGCAAAAACACCTGCACCCGCAGGTATCTATGGGTAAAATCTGATACGGATAATAAATAGATAGGCTAATTAGGTACCTGCGGATAATGGGGAAGGATAATTTTTTACCCGTTTATAAACAGAGCGGGGCAGGTATGATGATATTCATACCCGCGGGTAACGATTTAATAATATTTCTTAAATATCCTAATTATCCTTTTATCACATAACCTTAAAGTTACACTCTCTCATCTTATTTTCTTACAAAAGTGAGGTTGATAAAGTTACCAACATGTGTTAAGCATGTTATAGAATTATGTTGGATGTAATTTGATTAATTTTCTAGCTTTGATTGGACTAATAAGATTTAGGTTAAATACCTCTTTTGGTCCCTTACAATGTTTTTTTGTTTCAATTTAGTCCCACTTTAATTTTTGGTCTCAATTTGGTCCTCAATAATTTAAATCGTTCCAATTTGGGACTTCCATCTAAATGATTTAAACGGAGTTAACTGGTGGCCACGTGGATGCCAGGTGGATGCCACGTAGGTGGATCCAAAAATACTTGAATACACCTAGAACCAGAACGGTCCGTTCTGAAACCAGAACGGCCCGTTCTGGTTACATTATTGGTGTGTAAAATTTGCACCTGGAACAGGCCGTTCCAGGTCCAAAATTAAGACATCAACAGTGTAACCAGAACGGACCGTTCTGGTCCAGAATTTCGTGCACAAAAAAAAAAATACAAAGCATTTTTTTTAGGGAAAATACAAAGTATTTCAAACACTAGATTTAGTAATATTGTTAATGAGGATTAATAACTTCAATCGTTAAACATTTTGGCTATACAGTATATCATTAAGGATGATGTAGTGTATCACTAAGGACAATGGTAACAAGCTTTATTTCATTGTTAGTCAAACTGGAGTGAACCACTTACTACCAAATTGACACTATACAGTCAAGGATAAAATGAAACAGTTTTTTTCCTTAAAGTCATTGACGATGTACCCCAACAATAACAACCTGTTCTTGAGGAGGTACTCCTAAACCCTGAATTTTATTTTCAAATTTTTGAAATACATTGCGGCATTTTAATCAAGATTTTGAACTGGATAAATTCAAATCAAAGAAATATTTTGATAAAAAGCATGGCGTTCTGGAACAGGCCGTTCTGAATTCAGAGCGGCCCGTTCTGAATTCAGAGCGGCCCGTTCTAAAAGCAGAACGTCCCGTTCTAAAACTAGAACGTCCCGTTCTAAAACTAGAACGGCCCGTTCTAAAACCAGAACGGCCCGTTCTAAAATCAGAACGGCCCGTTCTGGTTTCAGGTTTTTTTAAGAATTTTGGCGTCCACGTGCACATCCACGTGGCATCCACGTAGATGCCACGTGGCTAACAGTTAACTCCGTCTAAATCATTTGGACGGAAGTCCCAAATTGCACTAATTTAAGTTATTGGGGACCAAATTGAGACCAAAAATTAAAGTGAGACTAAATTGAAACAAAAAAATATTGTAAGGGACCAAATAAAGGAGGTATTTAACCTAAGATTTATGTATTTTAATTTGTTTACTTTCGTTTGGAATTATGAGATTGAATTATTGTACCTTTGTGATATGATACTTCCACTTACTTGTGAGATTGATATATTTTAAGTTATTGATTATCTTGTATTTTTATTATTATTTCAACAAAATTAACGTTAAATACAAGTTCAAAATTAACGTTGAATTTTTATTTTTAATATTTCAATGACATTAAATATAAACCTAAAATTATTTGTAATATAATTTTTTTAATTTCTTAAAAAATTTATAAATATCCGTGGATATTCATGTATATTTGTGGGTATTCAAGAAATTCATGGATACCCACTTCATGGATATCTGTGTGGATATGGGGTGGATGTAGGGCCAATTTTCATCTAACGGAGCGAGGACAGGTTTACTATTACCCGCCCACATAGGACCCCATTGCCATCCCTACTTGAAGACATAAATCCCCTTATGGGATTACAACAATCTCTTTCCGCATATACATATACACCTAATATAATAGTACTAAAACAAAAATTCTAATGGTAATCAAATGTCTCTATAAACATGTTTGAATAATTCAACAAGGACATAATGCCATATCTAATATGGTCATCCAACTGTGCTCGTCCTCCAACTTAATCTTGACATGTTTTCATACCAAATATAATCATAGTTTTTCAACACATGAAAAAAGGGTAAGTTTGTGAAAGGATACATATCATATAAAAACTAATCAACTTCAAACAACATGCACCCATTTAACAACAAAACGACTTCACTAGCAACTTGACTTTGACTTTTTGTTGACTTTTTAATTATTGGTTTGCTTGGTTATATTTTACTCTGTATCTATGTTGTATTGCATGAATAGATCTAGTCATAATGAATTACATGATTTTGATCCTGAAATAGAACAAACCTTTCATAGGTTGTTAGAAAAGTAGTTTATAGTAGAGTAATTGTTAGTTATATTATTGTTGATCCTTCTTTTATTTCTGATTTTCATTCTTGTAGATCTGAATCTGGAAATATGAATAACTGTGAGCTAACCTTGAAGGAATTAGCTACACCTAATGTTGTATACTAACCTTGGTGTGTCCAATATCATGATGTGGAAGTGAATTATGGAGCTTAAATTTGGACTGATCCACTTATTACCTAAGTTTCATGGACTTACAGGTGAAGATCCTTATAAATACCTTAAGGAGTTCCATGTGGTGTGTTCTACCATGAGACCTCTAACTATTCCAAAGGATTATGTCAAAATGAAGGCATTTCTTTTCTCTTTGGATGATGCAACAAAAGGTTGACTATATTTTTTTACCAATAACCATCACTACATGGAATGACATGAAGAGGTTGTTCCTAGGCATGGCAACGGGGCAGGGTGGGGGCGGGTTTTACGTTCCCCCCCCCCGCCCCTGCAAATTTAAACTGCCCCGCCCCGCCCCGGATACCCGCTGGGGGTAAATTTTAGGTCCCCATCCCCGCCCCCGGTGGGGTTCAAGTTTCCCCGCCCTGCCCCCACCCCCGCTCCTATTTTTTTTTTCTTTTTTTCTTTTAAATAAATATGAAAAATTTTAAAAAAATAAAAGAAAAGTAAAATAATATAAATTTTTATATATAAATATTTTTAATTTTTATCAATCGGGGAAAACCCGAACCCGAACCCGAACCCGATAAACACGGGTTTTCCCCATCCAAATCGGGGCGAGTTTGGGCAGGTACCCACGGGACGGGTTAGATTGTCATGCCTAGTTGTTCCTTGAAAAAAATTTCCCTCCCTCCAAAAATATAGCAATCAAAAAAGAGATTTGTGGTATAAGACAACAACATGGTGAGACATTGTATAAATACTAGGAGAGATTCAATAAGTTGTGTTCCACTTGTCCTCACCACCAAACTAGTGAGTAGTTGTTGATTCAATATTTCTATGAGGGATTGACATTGATGGATAGGAGCATGATTGATGTAGCCAAAGGAGGAGATTGATGGATAAGACACAATTAGCTGCATGGGAACTCATTACAAACATGACAACAAACACTCAGCAGTTTGGTACTAGAAGAGTTGTCAAGGGAGTAAGTGAGGTAGTATTTGTTATAGATAACCAAAGGCTAGAAAACAAGTTATCTAAACTTACCACATTGATGAGGCAATCATCCATTACTCAACAACAACAAGAAGTTAATGCAACATCAATATCACTATGCGGTATTTGTGGTTCTTTAGAACACCTGACAAATACATGTCCTACACTACAAGAAACTACATACCCAACTATTGATGTTGTCGGAATGTATATTGGCTAGCAATTTTGACCTCTACAACAACAACAACAACAACAACAAAAATAATAGAGACCATTCCAAGCTATTGGTTCAAGTAAATATAAGCCCCCTCCATTCAAACAATAACAACTTATCCAACAACAACCTATGCAATAACAAAATACTTCTTTGGAGGATTTGATGAAATAGTTGAACACAAATAACATGCATCACTAGTGCAAAAATTGGATTGAAAATCGAAGTTTTCAGATCAGTTATAAGGTAACTGATCTTAAAAGTGATGCGGTGGCAATTTTGTAAATAATATGAAGACTTTTAAGATCGGTTAAAATTTAACCAATCTTAAAAGTAATTTTAAGATCGGTTATTTTATGACCGATCTTAAAAGGTATGTCTGACACAACTTTTAAGATCGGTTACAAAAGAACCAATCTTAAAAGTTGTATCAGACATCACTTTTAAGATCGGTCATAAAATAACCAATCTTAAAAGTATTTTTAAGATCGGTTAAATTTTAACTGATTTTAAAAGTGCTACTTTTAAAATTGATTATTTAAGAATCGATTTTAAAAGTGCTACTTTTAAAATCGGTTATTTCATAACTGATTTTGTATGTAGTACACAAAATCGGTTCTTAAATAACTAATTTTAAAAGTATCGTCAGAAACCTTTTATATTTCCCTCCATTCTCATTCTCTTTAATCTTTCCCTCCATTCATTTTTTTACTCTCTCGCGCTCTCATTTTCTAAAGTCTCTAATAAAGTAAATTTCATTGTCATTTTTGTTTTCGTCTTCTCATGCTCTTTTTGTGTCTCTTTTCGTTTCTTCATGCTCTTCTCTTGTCTCTATTTTCGTTGTAAGTTCATTTTGGGCAAATTATGAAACTGGAACGGCCTGTTCTGCAAGGAGAACGAGTCGTTCTACTTGCAGAATGGCCCATGCTCCTTGCAGAACGGTCCGTTCTCCTAGGAGAACGGGCCGTTCTTCAGGGAGAACGGCTCGTACTTATTTTTAACAACCTGGAACGGCCCGTTCCAGTTTAATTTTTTTTCGCCGCCCAAACTTTTAAGATCAGTTATAAAACAACCGATCTTAAAAGTTAACTTTTAAAATCGGTTATTGAACCGATTTTAAAAGGCTAACTTTCAAAATCGGCTCTTTTCAAATCGGTTACGGAACCGATTTTAAAAGTTGAAAATAACCGATTTTAAAAGTCTTTTTTCTACTAGTGCATTTTTACCAAAATATGAATGTCACATTCTAGACTTGCAGACACAAATTGGATAGTTAGCCACCACGATTAACCACCTATAATCACAAGGATCTAGCAACCTTCCCTCCAAAACAGTCATTAACCCAAAAGGAAATATTAGTGTTATTACCTTGAGGAGTGGTAAGAAGTTACCTTTGGTGTAACAAACTAGTGTTGTAGCTTCCCTTTCTTTAGCATTTCATGATTACTTGTCCTTCAACTTCAACTATAGTTGCTTGCTAATATATTTATATTTTTTTTTATAAAAGTATATTAGTATATACTAAATTATATTTATCAAATTATTAATTTATCTATAAATATACTAATAATATTATTGATATTAATTTATCAATAGAAAAAAATTATAATATACGTTTAAATAGGTAAATAATTATATAATTTTAAAATATTATACATATACATATATATTAAAATTATTAAATTTTTAACAAGAGAGGCTAAAATTTCATAATTATGATATTTGAGATATTAAAATTGTTCAATTAAAAATTAAAAAACCAAAATCGTACGAATACAATCTTTTAAAGACTAAAATTACTTAAAATAAAATCTTGGGAACAAAATTACACAATTAAAATTCTTGAGGATAGAAACACAATTAAATTTTGTTTATCTGTGAGAAAAATAAAAGTATTTTTTTTCTTATATATAAAAACGATCAAAAGAATATATAGTCTTTATCAAAATATCAAGTCAATCTGGTCCCAACTAGTTAGGACATGAATCACATGATGACCAGGATATCCAAATATTCGTACAATAATATCAAATAAAAATGTTATATATTGGTCAAACATCAACACCATCGTATCTACTAAAGAAAATAAAACTCAACATTTTAAACGGTGCATTCAAAACTAGCAAGCAAAACCAATAATTAACAGAGATCATAACATCAGAATCAATGGGTTCAGAAGGACAGCCCATGCTTCCTGTTCTAGATTTCACCATGGAAGATTTGAAGCCAGGGACCAATTCCTGGTTAACAACATGCAGAAGGGTGCGCCAAGCATTTGAAGAATATGGTTGCTTCGTAGCTGTGTATGATAAAGCTTCTGTTGGGCTTCAAAATGGTGTGTTCGGTTCAATGAAGGAGCTCTTCGATCTCCCAGCTGAAACCAAACAAAGAAACATATATGAGGGCATGCCTTTGAAAGGCTATGTTGGTCAACGCCCACAGATTCCTCTTCACGAAAGTATGGGTATAGATGAGGGAACAACACTAGAGGGGATTCAAAATTTCATACAAAAAATGTGGCCAAACGGAAATGATCAATTCTGGTACATATATATCCATATAATTTTGTTGCTTATTATGAAATATTACTTATTTTATTATAAGTGTTCATCAATTCAAGTTAATCCGACAAACTTAATGTTTAAACCCAATCAAATAAGTTTGTTCGAATATGTGTCTAGTTTGAATTGGACCAAAACTAAACAAATTGAAATCTTATGATTGATTTAAATAATAAACTTATACTTTTGAAATCTTATGATTAATTCAAGTAACAAATTTATACTTTTGAAACTTAAGTCAACATGAATCAAATCAACCATTTCTGTTTTATTACTTTTTATTTGTTAACATAGTAAATATTGTGTTATTTAAAATTTTTTATTTATATTTCTAAATCATATTTATTTTTAATTTTTAAAATAATAGTTTTTTATTGAATATCTGATGACTCGAATAAAACTAACTCATGTAATTAACCTCAAAGATAATTTGGTTCTAGTTAGGTTAAAAATTAAAAATAAATTAAAATCAATTGATTTAAATTTTTATTTTTTTCTCAAAATTGAATCAACCAGATCCATGAACACTCATATTTTATCTAATCATGCAATATTCATGATTTTTTTTTCTATTAAATGCTAAAGTTTGGATTACCCTCTCTTCTTTTTTTTTTTTTCGAAATTATCTATAGCAAATATATATTTGAGTATGCAAAGCTAGCTGAAGACTTGGATCGGATGGTGGCCAGAATGATATTTGAAAGTTATGGTGTTTTGAAACACTATGACACATACATAGGGTCAACAAGTTATCTCCTTAGGCTTTTGGCACACAAAGCACCAGAACAAGTCGAGCAACAACTAGGTTTCGTTGCTCACACTGACAAGAGCTTCACAACAATTCTTCACCAGAATCAAGTCAATGGACTCATGGTGGAGACAAGGGATGGTCACTGGATTGATGTTGATTTCTCTTCACCTACTTCCTTTGTCGTCATGGCTGGCGATGCACTCATGGTACTGATAGAATAAATTTCGACTAATTTAAGGCTTAATTTTTGGGATAAGATGTTGAACTATTTTTGTTTTTGCATCTAATTTATATATATACATGATGCTTAGGTTTTATAACTCGAGAGATTCACTTTTAACTTTTTTTGTTTTGCATCTAGCTTGAGTTATTTATTTTATTTTGTATCACTTGCTATTGCTAAAGATATATGTGCTTACTTCAAAATAGAGTGATGTTATTATCAAAAATAAAAATCACAACCTTTTTTCTCTCTATCCTCTCCACCATATATATCTTATATTATATACATTTTTCTGTCTTCGGCTTTCCATCATAATATTATTCTTTTTCCTTCAACAAAATATATTTTTAGTAACATTAAAAAAAAATTGCTAAACTATGAATAAATCTTACTAATATATTTTTAAATGTTTCATCTAATGTAAGATAAAGTATAAGTTATCAAAGACTTTTAGAAATATTTTTACATATTAATGACGATATTTTTCAAATTGTTATTAAATTGGTGTTTTGCTGTACTTTATTAATATTACTAAATTTTTGTAAATTTTATAAAATAATAATTAGTATTAATATAGATTGTACTACCACTTTTATTTTATGATTTATGTCTAGATGTCCTTTAAGATGAAAATATCTTAAGTTGTTTTATTTTTACAAAGAGAAGATATCCTAAGTTAATTTCCACCAAATCTATATCCTATATTAAAATTCATTTATTTTAAGTTTCACTTTGTAGTTATATTTACTTTTTATATATCATTTTTTTTAGTTGATGTGAGATTTTAATTTTGGAAAATAATAAAAAGTTTGAAAAGTATATTCTTTATATGTTTTTTTTACTCAATGTGGAAATTAATTTTGAGAAATAATTAGAAAATATAATATTAAGATAAAAAAAATATATTACTTTTTATCTATAGTAACATTTTTAGAAGAAAAAAATTACAATAATATATTAACTTAATTTATAGTAACATTTTAGTAAATAAATGTTGTTGAAGATGCTAAATGACAATAGGGCATGTACTTATTTGAGAAAAAATATTTTCATATTTCAATTCCAATTTTTATAATTAATTAGAGAAAGGGACGAAAAAGTACTGGGATAATCATGCGGTAAAAGATGAAAATGCAAGAGTTTATTGATCTAACAAATTACTCGAGAGACTAGATAAAAATAAATACTCATTTTGTTCTGATTTAGTCAATGAATTGAATGTCTTGTTTGGTTTATATATCCAGGCTTGGAGCAACGACAGAATAAAGTCCCCTAATCATAAGGTTTTGATGAAAGGGAACGAAATAAGGTACTCTCTTGGTCTGTTTGCCTTCTACAAAGGGATTATGCAAGTACCTGAAGAGCTAATTGATGAGGAACACCCATTGCAATATAAGCCCTTTGATCATCTTGGTTTGTTGAACTTCACTTACAGTGCTAATATGAAAGCCTATTGTGGCGTCTAAAAGGCTTGTCAAGGTTGTTCAACAAACTATGTGATGTGTATTTTATATATATTAAGCTATGTCTTTAGAAATGTCTTCCATAGACATTGTTTGGTGTGTTATGTGGTCTATTAATCATGGCTTATACGTACTACAGTCTTCAAATGTTTTCCTAATTAATAAAATGTATTGTTAATCATGGTTAATTGTCATCATATGCATGTTATTATCTTAAAACCTTGAATATATTTTGATTCAACAATGAAATATTGAATCGAATCAAGAACCGAGAAAAGAAAATGAAATTATTATGTATTATATTGTTGGGATAATAATTAAAATTTTAAATATTATTATGTTTACTGTATTGTTAATTAGTGCTAAAACTACTAGCTGATTTCGCTCAGTGGCAGATGATTGTCATTCAAAGAAATAGTTGACAACTGTATAATGACAAAGATGGCTAAAGACTATACAATAGCCTATATGACTGAAAGCTTAGAGATATATTATTATATGTAATTTTTGTCAGGACGTCACCAAATTGATTTGTTACAAAAGCAATAAGTTTTATTTTCCCTTATAGACCAGTTGAGAGAGAGATTGTGACAATTTTTGCATGAAGGTTTATGTTACTAAAAATGTGGGTAGTGGGTTGTTTATCAACTTAATCAAACGGTTAGTGAATAGAGTAATATAAAATGTAAAATGAGTGCTGTACCAAAAACAACTTTAATTGGACCATATTAATGAAATTTATCTTAATCTCTTGTCATTTAAAGTTGTTTTTATCAGCTTTCTTAACTTTTCATTTATGGCTTTATTTATAGCACTTTTCACCCAATTTTTGCAATTTTCTAGCAAAATGCTAAAGTTCCTTCATATCACCTCTTAATTAACTCTGAATCCTAAAAGCAAACAATTCTAAAAAGCAATATACAAAATCTTAAGTATTTCTAAGTTGACTTGTCCACAAATGTCGTATTTCTAAAATTTCTTGAAAATAAATTCGAAAAAACGTAATTGTGATTGTTAAATGTATACTTTATTCATCTATTGAAAATTAGAATATATAAACCCTAAATGATTGTCCCTGACGTTGAAAAGAGATGTTCATTTATATGCAAATCCTTAAAGAAGATTATCCTATCTTCCACAAGAAATATTCATTAATATATATATAAAGTTAGGACATACAAAAGAAAAACTTTTCAGGTGTCACACTCACACAAGAAAGCAACAACCAAATTAATTGTATTTCAAATTTTAATTAATTATAATTTATTCTAATCACTATAACAAAATTTATTATTAATGATAATTATTTAATGATAATAAATTAATTATCTCTATTTTATTATTTAATAAAAATATTAATGATTAATATATATTTATTACCTTATCTTTATTACCTTATTAATATATAATAGTCATTAAAAATATATTTACATAACACAAAATTTAGTATTAGTGATAATTATTTATTAAAAAAATTAAATCTCACATTGACTAGAGATAAGATAATTAAAGAATATATAAATGGATGATCACTCACTATTACCCAGCTTAATAGTGCTAAACTTGAGGGGGTATATTGAAAAAAAAACGCAAGTCTCACGTCGATTATAGATAAGATAATTAAAAAGTATATAAGTAGAAAGTAACTCTCACCTTACAAGTAGGGATGACAAATATATCTATACCCGCGGGTAATACCCGAACCCGTCCCGACTTTGACGGGAAATACCCGGTTTGACCGGGTACGGGTATGGGTACAGGTAAAACCCAATATATTAAATAGGGTACGGGTATGTACTTACCCGCCTCGTACCCGTACCCGTACTCGTCCCCGTTCTCATTTTTAATTTAATACTCACTTTTAATTTAATTATATTAAAAAATATATAATATTTTTTATGTGTGATTATTTATTAAAATATGAGATAAAGAAATAACCTAATTATAATTATAATATAATAAAAAAATAATTTAAAAATATT